GGTGGAATTTCTGGATATGAAGCAATTAACATGCCAGGTGTTGGGAGAAGAGGACTTGAGGAGTCTTATCTTTTCTGACAACAGAATCAGGTTCAAAGTTATTAAAGACTCATTTTAAGGAGAACAAAACCCAGGAGTAAAAGCCCACGTCTCTTTACTCTCCTCTAAACTGCTGGGCCAACTGAAGCAAGCCTCTGTAATTTTTTCTTCCGTAAAATGAAAATTCCTGCCCACACCTCATAGAACATTAACAAGGTCAAATTAAATCTTATATATACGTTTTGAGTGCACTGTAAGAGAACTACTAATTTTTTTTAATGAAAGAAGTAGGAAAATAGTCTTCATAGGGCTTCACTAGGCACACTCCAGAGCTCTATAATAAAAGGTACATAGTAGAAACCTATTTTGGAGATAGGAAGGCCAGAAACTATCATACAATATGAGATCATGTTAAACTTTTATGTTCACCACTTATGAATAAAGGTATTATGGAAAATAAAAAATTGTACGTGCATAAATGAAATTATAAATCTAATGGAACAAACTTGGGAATATATTTGAAACTGGATTTTAAAAAAAAGCATTCTCTAGGAATGATAAATATTGGTGCAGAATTGTAACTCTTAAAAGAGAAATAAAGAAATTTGGGTAAGCCGATGGGAGAAAACACTGCTAGCAACTCCTAAGATATAAGGTCAGCCTGTGTTTCAAAATAACACTCATGATAGATTGTTTAGATGACTTTCAGTATGTGGTATCAACATCAAGGAGACTCCTAGCTTCAGAAAACAAAGTGAGGAAATAGACTTTCTGCCACTGGTGCTTTCTGGCACAGAGTAACCTGATTGAAAACAGTTAAGAGGAATGATCAATGACCTTCATTTACTCACACTAAGGGCAGGAGACAGGTTGAAAAACCGCAGAACTACAAAGTATTACTCTTTGATTAATCAAGAGTTTAGGATACCATATACCTAAAAAGAATAGAAAGAGAAAAATGCAAATCCATGTTAAAAGACAAGAAATCTTCAAGATAGAAAAATGCAAAAAAAAGGACTGACTTGAATGTGGAAGAAAAAAAATCTGTGGGGAAAATTCTGATGAAATCATCTTGAAGGATGGAGTGTAAGAAACAATGACTACTGTTAATGTCTGAGCTAAAAAAAATTTTTAAGTAATACCATGGCACCAGGTTAATATCTTTCAAAGGGAGCATGAAGTCTAGATTAGAAAGTTGTTCCTGTAAAGCAGGAAAAAATAAAATACGCAAGAAATCAGACTACATTAAGTGAGTGGAATAACTAATTGAGGCTTTTAAACTAACTGAAAAGAACCACAAAGTCCCTAAAATTGTTTTTAAAAACACAATATTTAAAAATATAAACCCATGAAAAAATTAGAAGGGTTGGTTTATTTAATTCTTAAGGTAGCAAAGTAACTGGCTGACAACCTAATGAATACATGCAGTTTCAAGCTTTTTTCAGCATACTGGATAATCTGGAAAAAGGATGGATATAGATAGATGGCAGGTAGATAGAGATGAATAGACAGATATCTGGTAAGAAAAGTCAGCTTTGGAAGTTACCATAATTCTTCTATAAAGCTCAACAGGAAAAACAATATCATTAGAGAAAATTAAGTTAAGGAAGTTGGACCTTGTGGCCCTTTGGGGATTAGACACACTGAATCAGTTCATAAAAGTTATTTTTTATGTACAGTTAGCTTGTAGCTTAACTATGTGAGTTTGTTTAAACTGGTTTATGATTAAAATGATCTCACAGATTTTCTGTTAATGACAATGTCCCCAGTTGACTGTTGTAGGCAAAGACTTTGAAGGGAGGTGTGAGGTTGGGTGTAATGAAATAAAGTAACTATTAATTTACTAAACAAGTGGTATTGAAAGAAAGGCAGGATTCGGTTGACTTCTCATTTCTGGGTTTGCATTAGTTTGCATTCGTGATGCTACTCAACTTACTCATTTCCTATGAGCTACTCCACCCATCACAGAAAGATGGTCACACCCTGAATCTTGCCATCACCCATAAATGTATCACCTCCATGGTTCAAGAAATCTGAAATCTTAATTGACCATAATCGACTTTTCACTGCTCCTTTGGCCTTCCTTTTCCAAACCCTACTGTCTACATGGATCTTCAATTCCTTGATCTCTCAATTCTCTTCCACCCCATTTCCCTTGTACTCGCCACTCTCTTTTCCCCATGTTGGCCCCTTGATGAACCAATTCATCTCTACACTGTTCTCCTCTCTTAAATCCCTACCCCCTTTCTTTCACCAATTATACCTAAGTCTTAACCTTTGATCACTCCCACCATTTGCCACCTTTGCACCTATATACGTGCTGCTGAATGAAGATGGATACAATCATGCAACTATTCTGACTGAATCCACTATAAATTTATTTGGGCCCTCACTGCCATTGGGCAATTCTACTATACCTCCCTTTTCAACTCACTATCTCACTCTTCACTGCTGCCCTTCCAAACCTTTTAATCCCTTCTCAAACCTCCCCTGGCTCCCTCCACATTCTCAGCTGAGAACCTTTTTTCATATTTTACAGAAAATGTTGAGGTTATTTGCCATGAGTTCCCTCTTCTCTCTTCCTCATCTCTTATCAGCCAGATGTGGTCTACCCCTCTCTTTCACTGTTGTCTCACACAGTAAAGTAGTTTTACTCCTTACGAAGGCTAGCCCCTATACCTGTTCAAATAATCCCACTCTAATCTGTCTTCTCCAATAGACTTCCCCCTCTGTCATCTCCACTCTATCACTTTCAGTCTCTCTACTGGTTCCTTTCCTACTGCCTACAAACATGCCCATGTTTCCCCGAATCCTGAAAAACCCAACTGATCTTTCATCCCCACTACCGTCTTTTGTCTCTTCTGCTCTTTGTAATTAAATTCCTTGAAAAGTAAAGGCAGTAGGTGCCTCCAGTCTCTCTTTCTTCTCAACCCTTTACAATCTGGCTTGACTTTATCATTACACCAAAATTGTTCTCTCCAAAGTTTACAGTGATCTCTTAGCTGCCAAATCCAATGGTCTTTTCTCAATCTTTCTTCTCCTTGACCTCTCTGCAGCCTTTGATCATCCTCTCTCTCCTTCGTACTCTTTTCTCTAGGTTCTTTGGGGCACCATTTTCTCCTGGTTCTCATCTTTCCTGTCTGACTACTCCTTCTGTCTCCTTTACTGGGTCCTCCTTCAGATCAAGCCCTCTACCAGTAGGTGCCCCTCAGCATTCAGCCCTGGGACCTTTTTTCCTCTCAATTTATACTATCTCATCAGCTTCCATGGATTTAATGACCACTGCTATGCTGATGACTCTCAAATCTACCTTTCCTGCTCCAAACTTTCCAACTTGCGATTTCACATTTCCAACTGCTGTTCAGACATTTCAAACTGGATGTCCTACAGTCAACCTAATCTCAACATGTTCAAAAACAGAACTCATCTTTCTCCTTATACCCCTCCTACCTCCTCTACTATTGTAACACCATTTTCCCAATCCCTCTGGCTCATAATTTAGGAGTCATCCTCAACTGCTCACGCTCAACACCTCCCTCCCCGATATCTAATCTGTTGCTCAGACGAGTCTATTTCACCTTTGCAACATCTCTTGAAAATGCTCCTTTCTCTCCTTCGACACTACTATCTCTCTAATTCGAGCCTTCATCACCTCATGCCCAGACTACTGCAGTAGCCTGTTAGGTCGACCTGCCTCAAGTGTCTTCACGTCGCAATTCACCCTGAATTCAGCCACTAAAGCAAGTTGGCCAAAGTGCAAATCCGATCATGTCACCACCTGGCTCCCTACTGTCTACAAAAAGCTCTTTGGCATTCAAAGTCCTTCAAGACTTAGCTGTCTCCTACCTTTCCATTCTTCCTATATCTTTACACCACCCCCCATAATACTCTTTGACCCAGTGGCACAGGCCTCCTGGCTGTCCCACAAACACGACACTCTCTCAGCTCCGGGCATTTTCTCTGGCTGATATCCATACACGGAAAGATCTCCCTCCCCAACTCTATCTACTAACTTCTGAACCTTCAGGTCCCAACTAAAATCTCCTCTTTTATAGGAAACTTTCCCCAACCTTTCTTCATTCGAGAGCCTTCCCTCTGTTATTTCCTATTTATCCTGTATATAGCTTCCTTTGTCTGTATTTGTTTGCATTTTGTCACCCTGATTAGATGGTGAGCTCCTTGAAGGCCGAGACTATCTTTTGTCTCTTTTTGCATATGCAATGCTTAACACAGTGCCTAGCACATAGCAGGCATTTAATACATGTTGGCTAATTGATGATCCTGTAACAACATATTTAGGACCTGGAATTTTGTCAGGAATGGGTAGATTGCAGCCCATCTCTATGTACCATACCCTTAGAGAGCTACCTGAACCTCGGAGAAGTTGAGTGACTTTCTCATGTTCACACAGGTAATCAACAACAAAGGTGAGATTTGAACTCTGGATTCCCTGACTCATCCATATACTGAGTGTTCAGAAAGAGTAAGTGATTTTTCCACAGGTCACAGAGTTATTAAATAACAGTAAGTGCTTTTAACTCAGGTCTTCTGACGCTTAAGATTAGTGCTCTTTCCATTATACCACACTTGCCTTCAAGGTTCTGACCTGTGAGTTCTAGTCATGAGAATATTGTAGGGAGAATTAATTCAGAAGAAATAATTCCTGCTTCTCAAAAGCTTCTCCCCCACTTCTTCCCCTTCTCCCCACCCTGCACCCTCCATCCCTGGCAAACTGCCATTTATAGCTTTGACACAGTTCACAGTCTACAACAGGGACACATCTGGTTGGCTACACAAGTACAACATGAGAGTTCAAATACAAATTCATTAAACAGAACAAAAAAGCTCATTTTAAAGCTTCTGTACATACATTTTGGACTCACTTATAAAAGCCATATTAATGCCTCCACCCCACTCCCAACACCCTGACAAACAACTCAATAAAGAAGGGGGAAAAACACTTGTTGGTACTAAAGCCTTTACTGTAATAAACCAAATATATTTACAATTTATACAAATGTTTAACCTTCAACAAAAATACAAAAAACATATCACAAGATGCAAAACCAGGGAACAAGTTCATCGGAGACACCACTGCTCTACATAGGACAGAATGCAAGTTGAACTGCAAAGAACAGAAAGGTAATCTCACATATTCAGGCAATGAGAGCGATCTCTAGGAGGTCACAGAGACAGAAAGTAAAAGGCTCCAACATTCTTCAACAGATTCAGTCTCTGAATCCTAAGACCTTGGCTATCTGTCCGTTCATTTTTGCCTCCATGCTTCCTTTGGGTCTAGGCAGGTGACCTTTATTTAGTTTGCTGGATGTTGCCTTGTCTTTGTATACTCGGAGTAGTTTCATGAAAAGGCTTAGAAACATCAGATTTCTTCTTTTTGTTCCTTAAGTTACAATCTTTCTACTTCTACAAATTCAAAACATTTTGGCCCAGTTCAACTCTAAAAGTTAAAACCACATCATGTTTTCAGTAGATTACTTCATAGACTGTAGCTTTCTTGTCTCCAGAGCCAGTGACTATGTATTTATCATCCACAGAGATGTCACAGCTAAGCACTGATGAGGACTCTTTGGACTAGAAAAACAAAAAAACGACACATTACTGAGAGAAGAGATAAAAAACAGACCACATTCACATCTAGTTTCACATATTTGGGAGAGTCACAGATATCATGGACAAGTTACATTTCCGTAATTATTTCTAGGAAAGGAGCTCCTACCTGGAATATACTGGCTCCATAGGGGGTCCTCCAGGCATTAAGGAGGTTATCTTTTCCAGTACTCACAAACCATTTACCTATTAAGTAGAAAGGGTACATGGAAAGTTTTAACAAGAAAGAAAGAGAAAAATCCCCAAACCCATCATAAGACAGCTACACTGGATTTACTTAAGATTTACCTAAACTTATGCACATCCTTTTAATATCTGGCTGTTAATATCTGACCAGGAAACTACCTGGTCAGAGAGAAGGAAAATTTAAGGATGACTATGAGAGCCTATGAACCTAGGTGGATATTGATGGTCTCAATCAAAACAGTAAAGGTTAAAGGAAGGGCAAGTTTATGGGGAAAATGGATTCTGTTTTCTGACATGCTGAATTTGAACCACTGATAGGACAGACAGTTGGAGATGTGGGACTAGAATTCATGAAAAAGATTCGGATTGAATATACAGACATAGATGTCATAATATAATGTAAATTTCTACCATTCCCAATGTATGTTTTATAGAAAAAGTAGAGATGGGGAAGGGTAAAACTTTTCCTTAAAGAATACCAAATCTATATGAATACAATTCCATAGTCTGGATAACATTTCTCATTAGTTAGAAGGATTGAAGCAGACACTTATTAGTAGTTTCTGTGGGCATTATTAACACAATGGAAAAATTATTATTATTACATCCAGCTGCTTAACTCAAGAATAGCATTTGTTCTGACATATGATCTTCAGTTAGTTTGATTTGGTTTTTTTTTTTTAAATACGTCTCCTAAGGATTTGTTTTCTATTCTACTTACCACAGTAAGCAAACTTTAGTGACAAAACACAGCTTTCGTGAAGATGCAACTGGTACTTGTCTGGTTTATTGACATGTAATACTTCCACATTACTGCTCTCCATGCCCACTGCTAGCCATTCCCCAGTTGGGCAATATCCAAGAGAAAAGATCTATAAAAAGCCAACAAGTCGATTAATTCTTCTGCATAAAAAGTACGAAGGGGAAGAGGATGAATGGTACTAGGATATATCTACATTTAGATTTCTTTCTCTATCTCTACTAGATATGGATGGGAAAAACTCATTTAACAATGTATAAAATATAAAAATGTGTTAATTATCATAGTGCCTGACTTTCAGTAGAAATGCCTTATAAGCAGAGTAAGACAGAAAAAAGAATAAAGGAAATGAAATGAGCAGTACTCTGTGCTTTTCCTTCTCTCATAAAAATGTAGAGATTTGGGAAAACTAAGTTTCACTCAAAAACTCTGGGGGTCCTCCCCTAAAAAGAGCTTAAAATTTAAAACATTTTTTCCAAGCTTTCACTTTTCTAAAGGCAACAAACATGAGAATGATATGAACAAAGAAAGGTATATAGAAAAAGTACATTTTTATGTATGTTCCTAAACTAAAAGAAAGTAAATCCAGATGAGTCAAGGGTGCTAACATTTTTTTTTTACAAATAATTTACTTTCCATTCCCCCTCCCCCACCTTCAAAGAAAAGGAAAAATACTGGTGTGAAAAATTTTATGCATATTTTACTTCCTATTTCATCACATCTTCAAAGAAAACTAAAAGTCCTGGTTATATTGCCCCCAATGAATTTCAAATTTCTGGAAACATTACATCATTATCCCCTCAAAGACTTGATAAAGCTAGTCCTCTATTCCTTTTATTGGGGAGAAGTCATGGAGAAATCATTAAAACCAGCTGCTTCTAGTAACTGAAAGACCCCATGATAATCATTCAGGGTCTTTGAAAGACTGTAACAACCCATGGCTTCATTTTTTGTTATTCCACTGTTCTGTTCTGTGTTGTTTTCTTTTGTTTTGTTTTTTGTTTCATCAATTTGGAGATCTGTTGTGGGCAGGAAAGACTCTTCCTCCCCTTGCTGGCTTTGCACAATCTCTGCTCTTGGCCCCACTTCTAACATGGCTGAAGTCTTCCTGCCTCATTGTTCACTGTGACCCTCAATCATACATCCATGACAATTTGCAAGGATCGACTGTATTGTAAAGTTCATCCCAGAGGTTAGCAAAACTCAACTTGTTGCTTTTCTGCACATGCCATGTGTTCTCACTGATGTGGCAGCACTAACCCAAACCCTACGTGGGCAAAGGAGACAAATACAGGTGGATAAAGATGAAGCAGCCCCTCAGGGAATTGTAAGGGGGATGTAAGATTGACAATCAGCCCCAGACCACAACGGCAAATGAATCTCTGATCAATTTTGATAATGCCAAAGGTATGGCAACAGCCCAGAAGAGAACACACACTGGATTCTGCAACTGTTTCAGGTGATAAGGCCTACGTTAGGTCCATATAAGACTTACAGACCCGGAAAGGGGTGGATGGGTGGGTGGGGGTCGGCCTTATGATGTTGGCTCGTTCTGGGGGGACTTTCCCAGAACTCTAATTAGAACTTGAAAGTTCACCAAAGGACAATTTGTCTGAGTCCCTCTAGGACTTGGGGGGAAATCTAGGAGCCTTAATGAGAATGGGAGCTTGCCTGAAGTTGGATGAAATAATCCCTGGGCACCAAGCTTCTCCTCCTACCTTTGCCCTAGCCAATGTGGTTTTAAGGTATGGGCCAAAGGTCTTGCTAGGTATTAAAGTTACAGGACAACAGAGATTGAGATTGTGCCATACTTTCTAAATTAGAGGACCATCAACCAGTTTTGCAATTCTAAGCCATTAGGAGCAGCAGCAGTGGCCTGGTCCCTAGCCTGAGGATGAAATCTTCCTAGTTTTTCCAAGTATTACTTTAGATTTAGACACATCTCCACACCACTCTCACCATGGGAGATATTCACTATTTAAGTAATTTTCAAAATATCCCAAAGCTCTGAGGTTTCCACTTCTTACATTTAATTTCAAAACTCCACTTATCTAATCACGGACAAATACATTTTAAGGGATAAGTAACAGAACCGGGATCCCCTAAGATTGCTTTGCATTTCTTATCCTCCCTGATGAAAGCAAAATGAGTAACTTTCTAGGCTGCTGTGATTATTTTTATCTCCAATGAGAACACTGTTGCATATTTTCCTAGCACTATTTATATATTAATCAAATAATCATCTTTCGACCTACATTAAAATAGTGAGCATATGTACAACAGACTTTCAAATACTGCTTAAAGAAAACAGTGTATTCTTCACTACTCAAATTCCTTGAATGAAATTATGCATAAACAGAAGAGAGCAGACCGGTTCAACTTATGCTTCATGAGCCTTGGCCCATGGCACTCTGAAAACTGGGGGTGTTTCTACTTCTTTAAAAAAAGAAATCACAACTTAGCCACTCCTTTGCCTAGGCCTCTACTATCTGGAAGAAACCAACACGTATATTCAAAGGGAGGAAAGACTCATCACCTGCGAAGTGAAATCATGTTGCTGTAACTGCCGCCCTTCTCGCAGGTCCCAAGACCTGACCGTATTGTCCAAACCTCCCGTCCAGAGCTTGGTGCCATCATTCGAAATGTCAATACAGCTGGCTCCGTCTGTGTGGCCCTGGAATTGCCTGATAAAACAAACCCGATTGAATAATGATTTCCTGCCAGAGCTCAAGGTAAACACTGTTGTGTTGTTAGTTTTGGACTCTGTAGGCATGTGTCATCTCTTCTGTGTCTGCTGATTTGTAAGATGAAACTACCCTTCCCTTGGGTAGGATATGAAATTGCACCTGCAAAATGGTTTTTGTGATGCAAGCAGTAAGGAAATGGAACTCTATTTCAGCTAACTAAACAAGAGAAGTTAAATAGTTCCTTATTAGCTTTCCCCAAAAAATATTCTTTCAGAAATTCTAACTCCCCTCATACCTGTAATATTTTTTTAAAGGGCAACATGCAAAATCCCAATTTCATCCTCAAGTGAACACGATGTAACAGAACAAGGCCTGCTTAATAATATGGATGAGATCCACCATCTCCTGCCACCCCCATAGCCATCTGTGAAATGTCACATTAAATATACAGAAGGTTTAGTGACATTACCAGGACAGAATCCAGAAAACCAAACTCTCCCATTACCATGACTGAGTCAACAAAAGGATGCCCTTTGTGCCAGTGGGTTATGAGCTCACATATTTACTCAACTCTGTTTTCAGCGTTACAGCTTTGCGTTAGGAAATCCTAAATCCCAGTAACAAAGGGTCATTCCAAGTTCTATTCAGTCCTCTTGACCTCAAGCTTGGCAAAAGAGAGTCAAAAGCCAACTGCTGATGAAAATGGCAGGAATCTCAGCAAGATATTATTTTGAAGTGGAGCACAAATGCAATATTCTCAAAGCAATCACACACACACTCTCATCTGAGCACCCACTATAGGTAAAGTACTGTGCTAGGTTTGCCACTGCCCACCGAAATTAGCTATAAATCCACCTCTTTCATCTCTGTATCCTTAGTGGTTAGGACTGAACCTTATATATTTACAAAAATTTTATTTACATTTTCAAATTTTCTTCCTCTCTCCTGCTCCTCCCCGACCCACAAGAAGACAAGCAATAGGATACCCATTATACCCATGGACAGTACCTCATACATTAAAAAAACAAAAAATAAAAAAATCATACTTATTTCATTAGTAAGCAACTCCTGGTGAAAGAATTCTCTCAAATCATGCAGACTGCTAACTGTTTAACAACTTATAATCTTAGAGAGTTATCTCGTTTACTAAGAGGTTTACCTAGTGTCATGGAGGTGGTGACAGAAGCAGGTTGCGGATGAAGATCTGACTTGAAATCTAGTAAAGCTTGTACTGTACCAGCTCTCTATCTAGTATGCCTCTCTGCCTCTCACTTTGTACACAATAGAAGCCTAAATTATATTTGCTGAGGATGTCAGAGTACTAATGAACTAGGTCTTCTAATTATAATATAGAAGAGGACCTCCAAATCTCTTGATTCTAAGTGCTAAAGAATCACAGAGCTTGAGAGCTGGAAGGGACCTATGTGGCCATTTGGTCCAACCCATACAAGAAATGCATCTTGACTGTAACATATCCAACAATCTTTGCTTGAAGATTTCCAAACAGGGGGAGGGAGAGAACCAAGCACCTCTCCAGGAAGCCCAATCCACTTTTAAACAGTTCTACAACTTTCAAACTTCAAAAGAAATGAAGACAAAAGGAAAGTAAGCTAATTTTTGTTTTTAAAATTTTAGTGGCTTCAATAATACAAAAAACTGTGGTTTTCATTGGGGTGTGGATTCTCTCTCCTTTTAATAAAAACAGCCAACTCATCCATGTTTCAGTAGGACTCTGTGCGGTGCTCAAGCTGACCAATTCATCACCCAGGGTCAACTTGGTGATAAGCCTCTTCAAGCCTGGCAAAACTGGTCTTTGGAGAGTAGACAAAGTTTGTCAGCTGGGTCACACTACAAGTCTTTCAGTGACTAATGCCTAGAACTTATGGTCTACTAGCATAGCTTTCATGATCCCAAAGTCATCTCCAGATAATGATGATGAAGCATCAAAGGAAGATTTTTATGGAAGTGGCCCTGACATTGAACTTGTAGGGGAAACAAAGATAGAGGATGGAAGGCATTTTATTATGCCCTGTATAATTTGTTTTGTTTTTTTTTCGGTTGGGCAATGGGGGTTAAGTGACTTGCCCGGGGTCACACAGCTAGTAAGTGTCAAGTGTGTGGTCTGAGGCCGGATTTGAACTCAGGTCCTCCTGAATCCAGGGCCAGGGTTCTATCCACTGCACCACCTAGGTGACTGCTACCCTATGTAATTTGGAGAAAGGTTTGAACTCTCTGCTTTTCAAAGCCTTTAAGAATAGGACCATCTGGACCATGTCACTTCCTGGATCACCCCCTACTCTCACCACTAATGCCCCATAACTTTTTAAGACTCATACTCTGAGACCTGAAGCAGTGCACTGGATTCCAGTGGACCTGGTATCAGGAAGACCTGAGTTCAAATCTAGCTTCAGGCACTTACTAGCGATGTAACTCTGGGCAAATCACTTAACTAGTCTGCCTCAGTTTCTTCATCTGTAAATTGGGAATAAATAGTAGCACCTGCTTCACAGGGTTATTCTGAAGATCAAATGAGATTTTATAAACGTATAAAGTGCCTGGCAAACCTTTAAAGAGTTATATACATGCTTGTTATTATTATCAATTATTCAAATCCTCAAATCTTGCCATCTTGATAAAAGTAGGTTTTACTTCACACTATCTTCTTTACTTTACACTATCTAAAACATGCACAGTCTTTGACTTAGCCTTAATGTATTTTATTATATGCTTGCCAGTAAAAAGCTTTAGTATTTGTTCAAAACGCAGTTTTTTTTTGCTTATATGTCCTACAACTAAGCCTATTTAGGAGTTTTCACCTGTGAAAGAAACTTTTTAGAAGAAAGGGTCCATACTCAATCAAGGTCACACACACACACACACACACACACACACACACACACACACACACACCCCCTATAGCTTTTGCTCATATATACACACACCCCTATAGCTTTTGCTATATCTACAGTGTATGATTTTGTGATTATATGAAAACATCCCTATATCAGTAAAAGTCATGCAATTCTAGTCTTGTTTTACAAATGGTAAAACTTAAGCAAACAGAGATCCACAATGTCAATTTCTCATGGTTCATCCATCCATCTAACCATGCATGCATCCAACTACGTCTGCTATAAAAGCTGGAGTAGTATTATCAGGTCTTATTTGCTTGTCCTGTAAATCAGTAAAATTAATTCTATTGCCATGTCAACACCATGCGTAAGAATAGAGTATGCCTCCATGACGTTTACCCCATTTCTACCGACGTGGCTTAGAAATAAAATGGGGTGTTGAAATTTATACTACTCTCTGGTATATACACTTAAACACACAAGAGACGGTAAACTCCAAAAAGATGGTAGGCATCAAAGGAGCATACAAAACAAGAGATACCAAAACATCTCTTACATATATCAATCTCGTTCTTAACATTTAATTGATTTTAAAATGAAGCCATGCTTTCTTTAACTTATTAGGTGCCAGTTATTGTTACCAATAAAAAGCAGGGAAGCCACAGACAAGGAAGAACAAAAAATCACTTCCTAAAGACTGGAACAAGTATAAAGGTCGAGAGGATAATATACAGAAAGGCCCTCACACAAAAGGACTTTGCTAGATATAATAAGCTTATTGTGTAAGTTTTACTTAGGGCCTGAAAAACACCAATACTTAAAAAAAAAAAAAAACCAACCATGCTGCAGGGTCATGTTCTTGAAATATGTTCTTCTAGTAATTCTGCACAGTTCATAGCATCATTTCTTAGCAGGTAGCTTCTAATGTTTGCAATCAACAACTCCAGCTAAAGCAAAAGCTCTAATGAAGCCCTCTCATAACCTATGCTCATCCTTCCTCAGGCAAGACACAAATACTAGAAAATTGGGATAAAGATGACTAAAGAGAAACTGTAAAAATTCAGGGCAGGAGCCATGGTGACAGCCTTACAAGGGTCTAGGGCACACAATCTTAATCTTTTTTGGATCATAGGTACCCTTAGCAGTCCAGTGAAGTCTATGGACCCATGTCATAATCACAGTTTTTTTTTTTTTAATTCATAAAGGGAAATACAAAGGAAGCCAAATTTATACTGAAATAGTTATGAAAAGCAAAACATCAAGAACCCCTGGTCTAGAAAGTATTGGTCTTTACCCATGAAATCCTGTCATCTCAGTGCCTTTGCCCTGGCTCTACCCATCACATATCTCCTGGAAAGCTCTCTGTCCTTACTGCTTATCTCTTCCCTGGCTTCCTTTAAGACTCAGCTACAATGCCACCTCCTACAGGATGCCTTCCCCAGTTCAGATGTGGCCTGGACTTCAGTGAGACTACGTTTCCCTCTCCTTCATTCTGCATATAAAAACTGCATACACTTCTTTATGTCCACATCTCCCCCATTAGAATGTAAGCTCCTTGAGGGCAGGGATTATTTTTGCCTTTTCTTTATATCCCTAGGGTTTGGCATGGTGCCTGCCATATAGTAAGAACTTCACAAATGCTGGTTGACTGACAACTACCAAAGGCAGCCTATGGCTCAGGAACATCTGAATTGTCTACTCAAACAATGCCTCTTCTGAAATTCCTCCTTCAGGGGCCACAGTCACCCACCTGACCAATGTCTGGTTGTGCAGATCCCACACCGCGATGTTCCCGTCGCTGCAGCAGGAGAAGCAGACCTTGGAATCAGGGCTGATCGCCAGGGCGTAACAGGCAGGAGCCGAGGATGTCAGCTCAGCTTTGATGCGTGGGGTCGGAGCTGCCAGGTCCCAAATAGATAACGTACTAGCTTCTCCACCTACTATAAGGGTGCAGCCATCAGGCAGCAATTTACAGGAACGGATGTAATTATCTCTGTTCTGTGAAATAAACACTGCTCAATTACTACAGTGCACTACCCAACAAGAAATAATACTATCCTTTCTAACACTAGTTTAGTTTTAGACTTCAAATCTGGGATGTCTCAGGTGCCAAAACAGTGTAGGAAACAGAACATTCGAATCTCAATTGCTCTTTGCTGTCTTCAAATGCCATCACAAACTCACCTTAGGATATAGATGTAATAGCTTTTGCTTCCCTGCTGTGTCCATTTTTTTTACGCAGTAGACAGGGCCATATAGACTCACTTTCCCACAACTAAACATAAAGTTGCAAGCTTATTTCTCTAAGAAATAACTCTTTCCCCCTTGGCAACCTTTTCAAAACTGGCTTATAAATCCTTTGCCTCATTATACCCTGTGAATGTGAATTACCACTGGAATAATGAAGAAATGATACACATTTTTTGCTACTCACAGCTCCTCAACCTGTTTCCTAAGATGTGTGTTGTGTCTTCATTACTCAGGTAAGTTGTTACTTAAAAAAATTTCACATAGGTCTGTCCCTATAAGAGGACATATCCATTAAGTACTAGAACTCCCACCCTGAAAGGCAAAAGTAAGATGATGGGAAAATTCTCATCTTTTCTACTCCCAAAATCAGTGAGATATTATCACATATATTGAAAAACAAAATAAAACAAAAATAGGTGAGTCACACCAACAAGAGGAGGAAAGGGCTTTCTCTGTACTTCAAACTCTTCCATCCATCCATTAAATCTACAACAAATTCGTGTGTTTTCTGAAGCAACACTACAGATTTTTTCTGGATTTTTTCAGTGATTAAGAACAGTTGTTGTCAACCATTCAAAGAACCATGGAAACTTTAGCTAAGTGACTTTGTCAACATTTAAATTAAATCTACCTTACATAGCCCAAAAATACCACACACAGTGTGGGTTTTTGGTTTGGGGTCTGAATTCTGTCCAGGAAAACTGAAGAATTTTATGAAATGATCTGGCTGAAAAATGACAAGAATTCCTGTGGCTTAAATGGTAAGATAGCCAATGTCCCCAAAAAACAAACAAACCAAAAAACCTGTTGCTTGGATTCCCAGCAACTTCTTGAACACATTTTCCCTAGAAGGCAGTGTCTAACTCACAGGGGCCTCTCTGTGATTAGAGAGCGAATGCAGGCATCATCTAGATAGCACAGGCCCCTTGCACTTTGTCTAAGGCAAATGGTATGCTGTCTATAAATCTAAGAGTTACAGCTACAGTACAGAACATATTCTATCTTTTCCCTTCATATGATATTTACAAAATAACAGTCCTATTCTTAGAGATAAGCTTGCTGACTTCTTTACCGTTAAAAAAAAAATCACAATTTTAAAGTTTTTTAAATGCCTTTTTTGGACAGCCATTTTCCATTATAAACTCCTATCCTATAAAGCCTCCTTTGTAACAAAGAAAATAAGTCAAGAAAAACCAATTAACACATAATCGCGATAAGAAGCACATGTAATATTTCCTACCAATTTCTACTAGAAGGCAGGAAGTTCATTTCATCATCTATTCTCTGGAATTAATATTTTGCCCTGCTTTCTTAAATGAGACATGTAAAGAGTCTTTATAATAGTATCTATTATTCTTTAACTGAGACACTTAAGAGTCTTTATAATTAGTACCTATTAATCTTTCCTTATCAGAAGACAGTGATAACTATTCACGTACTGCCAAAGTTTCTCTAGAGGCTGTCAATTTTTCAGAATAGTTTTTATGTTATTTTGTTGTCCAGTGAAACTAGGAAATTCTCTTACAACAGGAATCCAAGTAAATATGAATTATTGGGGGGAGGGGTCAAAGCAGCAGTGGGATTTGATTAAATCAACCATGGTAGTAATAAATAAAGCCTTTAAATCTAAGGAGGGGAAAAAGTCAAGCTAAATACTAAGTACAGGAAACAGAACTGGCCTCTATTTCCTCATAATATGAATAAAATCCAAGCCAGGACAGCTATTTCCTTATTGAGTCTCCAAGGAGAAATTACCCTTGTGCATAAGTTCCTGCTCACTTACCAGACAGTCTAGCTGAGAGACTGGACTCTTATTGCCAGGTTGGCTGATGTCCCAGACTTTGACGCATCCCTTCCCACCAGTGTATACGTGTCTCGTGGGGTTGCTGATAGTAACTGCACACACTACTTCTCCGTGATTAAGGGTGTTGATCTGACGAGCATGTCGAGGGATTCCAGGTCCAATGAGGGCATCGGGGGGAAAAGGTACGGGCTGCATCTGACCATCTGCAGTAACGTGAAAGGAGTATGCGCTTTTGGGGAGGGGCAGGTAAGGGAGAAGAGGAGGTATTGGGTAAAAGGAATATAAGAGAGAATAGAGGAAAAAAAAATTCATCATAAAGAAATCTGTCACTAAGTCTTAAAAAACTAACTTGAGAGACATAAAGCCACTGAACAGGTCCTCTACTTGATTATACTTATTTCACCCTCACTTGAAATCAATTCAAGTTGAAGAATTAAATAGTAACAGAATAAATCTAATATAGATGGCAAAAAGAAATTTATTAGCTACAGGAAGGCCATCATACTGTGTTACGTCTTTGATGAAATAAGATTAAGCAATTATTTTCCATGTTTGTATATTTATTTTCAAATAACACAAAACTTTCAAATCATATACTCTGACTAAATACTGTTGCCCTTGGCAAATATTTAAGGCACAATTACAAACAAACTATGAAAGCCAACACACCCACTGTCTGTTCATTCCAAAGATCATTCTGTTAAATGTTTGGTTCAAAACTAAGAGACACAAATAGAATTCCTGTGGTTCAGAAGATAAGACATCTGCCATTCCTAAAAATCTGTGTTGGAATACCTAGTAACCATTCACTAAGCCCTCTAGACACCAGTGTGAAGAAAAAGAAGAGTAATGAGGCCCGAATCAAAGAAGTTACTAGGCAGGCACAGAAGTGGTTATTACCGGCAATATAAAACTGGATCAATGTTTTCTTCTATTTTCTTTACCTGCCTGGACCCTCAATCAAAAACCAAAAACAAAACAAAACAAAACTCCAAAGCTTAGCCTGCCACACTTCCTGTAGTTCTAAACTCAAATCTCAAAAGACCCAATAACACTTGTTCTTTATACCTTAATTGGCCAAGGAAACTTAGTACTCCCAAAGCTAAAGTTTTCATGTTTAAACGTAAGAGGAGCCAATGATTTTGTAGCTGTAGGAGGCACTATGGTGCTGTGCTAAGAACACTGGGCTAAAATAAAAGACAAAGAGAACTGGGTTCTAATTCCAGTCTGCCACTAATTTTCTACCGTGACAAGTCATTTATCCATCCATCTCTCCACCAAAAAACAAAGATGGTAGCCTTCTGATACGTAAAATGGATTTCCAGGTTGTGGGAGGATCAGATGATGATGATGAAAGCTAACAGAACTTTAAGGTTTCAAAAGTGATTTTTTTATATACATACAACACATGTAATGTGTTTATATACATATGTGTGTATGCACGTATTTGCATACACACACACACACACACAAAATCTCATTTGATCCTTACTAACAACCCTGAATTGTAGGTACTATCATCTTTTGCATTTTACAGAAGAAACCGAGGCAGATAGAGGTTAAGTGATTTGCCAGAATCAAACATCTAGTAAGTGTCTGAGGCAGGATTTGAATTCCTCTCTTGACTCCAAGTGCAGACAAAACTCTACTATGCTACCTATCTATCACAAGGGTCATAGATTTATAACTAGAAGGGACCTGACAGGTTATCTAGTCTAACCCCTTCATTTTACTGGAGAGGAAACTGAGGCCAGAGATGTTAAATGGTTTTCCCATGATCACAAAGCTAGTAAATGGCACACTGACCCAGGTTCCAAATGCAATATTCCTTCTATTGTACAAATTGGTGAGCTAGTTAATAAACATTAAGCACCTACTAGTCGCCAAGCACTGTCTTAATGTATATGCTTTTAGAAATATAAAGCAATTTAAAAAGGGTCTTCTTCAAATCCTGAATTTTATAGTCTTGTAGAAAATTCTTTTATATTACTTTTTTTCCTCTTGCAAAACTGAATAACCACCCTTCTGACTATCCTATAAAATGTTTTTCCTTCTTGAATATATTTCTAAGTAAAAAGCTGGGAGTACCCATACAACTCCATAAAAGGTTCTTTTTTTTCCTATTTCCATGATAAAATATTGAAAGAGCTTTCAAAGGAACATAAAAACCATTCCACTTTAGTGTTAGCTATAATTTCCTACCACAAGTTGAAATGGCTAGTTCCTATGCATTAATGAAAAAAAAAAAACCCTTTGAACTTCCTTAAATTACTCTAATGATACATTATATTGCTATGTTAAAAAAACAAAAAACAAAGCTTCTCAACACACTCTTTTCCATGTTCGCCTGGGGTTATTTGGCTCTACATTTAACACTAAGCTACATCCCCATAAGGTCACTCTGTCATATGGCTTCCTGTGCCAAGGAGAGCACGTTCTTTCTTCCACTTTCTTCCATTCGTCCAGCAGTATTTGCCTGCCAATGGGGTCTTTCCTTTTTAATAGGCAAAGTACTCAGCTCTGTGGAACAAGATTTTTTTTCTACTCAAGACTACACTATGATTGTTTTTCTTCCATTTATAGGACAATTTTCCCCACTCGTTTCAATAAACTTTTCCCTCCACCCCAACAACCCTTTCCCCCATGACAAAGGAAAACCCTAAATTTATCATGTGTCAAAATTATTCACTAGAAACTATGCCCTGGGCACCTTAAATATTGAGTGGCACCCCCCCCACACACACACACACTTTAAATAAGAGTGACACCGTTTGTCCAATCATTCTTTAGAGGAAAGAGTATTGGTTTGTTTTAAGTCAGAAGACATGGGTTTGCTGCTTTACCAAGCTGTGTGACCTTGGGCCAAGCCACAACTTCTCAAGGGCCCCAATTTCCTCATCCTTAAAATCAGGGGGCTAGATGTAATGACTCCTCTAAGATTCCTTCTGTTTCTGGCATTCCATACTAATTATTCCATATTAATTATTGTGTGATTCCATACTAATTATTATTACCCAAGTATTCTTTTATTCCCTGTCCAGTCTCTTATCTTTTTCAACCCAGAAAGAAGTTAAATATTAAACTATCTAGAAGCCTTGTTCTCCATATTAATAATAATAAAAGAAGACATTTATATAGTGGCTTAATGTTTACAAAGTACTTTAAGTATATTATCTCATTTGAAAAAGCAGTAATAATAACTGACATTTATATAGTACTTTAAAGTTTACAAAGAACATTACAGATATGATCTCATCTGATCTTCACAACAACCTTGTGAAGGGAGGTAGTAGAGATTATCATTATCCCCATTAAACAGATGAGGAAATTGATTTCATCAGTTAAGTGAGGTACCTTGCAGAGCTAGGAAGTAACAGAGGCTGGATACAAATCCAGACCTTTGCTAAAGCCAGGGTTCTTTCCCTATACCACACTGCTTCTCTGGTAATTAGCCAGTCATTGAGATTTTAGTAGGAGCTAGATTTTCCATTACTACCAATTCTTCCATTTTCTTTCAAGAGCTACAGACTTTCCTTGGAAAGAGCTACCATGCTTCATTATCCAGCCAAAAACAGATACAATTTTAACTCTTCAAATTTATCTTTCTACTCCAAATGTAAGAATACATGATATCATTTCGAGTTATAAGGTCTAACCTCTTTAAATTATTCTTAGTGCCCATACTATAACAAATGAAAAATGAGAACTTTTTCTTCTCCCTTGTTCTGAACTAAGCTTATGCTCTTTTTTGAAATCTTTTGCACTTACCACATACCACGCATGCAACAGCTGCCTTTTTTAAAGGGCAAAACTCAAATTTCTGATATGAATTTAAACAAGGACATGTACTTTAAAACTGTATATATATATATATATATATATATATACAAAATTCAGCTATTCATTCAAAAAAATTTTAATGTCAACTGGACATTATCTGTACAAATTGTACTGTTAGGTGCTGAGGATAATATGAAGATAACTAAGCCAATGTCTGCTCCCACAAGGAGCTTATAATCTTGTAGAGGTGCTCAGGTACATATACAAATAACTATCATAGAAAACAGAAAGCTGTCTCACACAGAACTCTGAATATCCTTTTAAGGAAAAAAAATTCACATAACCACAGTTGTACTATTAGTGTCTGCTGGTAGAGAAAATATATGACAAAAAACTACTATCAATTTTTATTTATTAGTAACAAATAAAATAAACATCATCTGGGCAGATCTACATGTTACAGAGGTCAGAGGATTAAAGATCTTATATCTAGTAAGTATGGAAAGCAAGGGGAATTGTGCAGTAGCCTATATCAATTCTATAGTGTTTGTCTCTCTGACATGGTCAGCAATTGCATTCTACATCTTTAGAGGGATCCCTTTCCATGTTTCAAGTTACCAGGGAAAATGAAATGCTCTTTGCAAAAATAAAACAGTTTTTTTTTCAAAGTGAATACAAAGGGAACACAAAATCTGAAGAATGAGAAGTGATTCCTGAGAGGTCAGATGGTAGAAGACTGAAACAATGGGAAGAAAAGGAAGAAGGACCAACAAACACTTTAAATAATAGGTATCAAGTTCTTTCTTTACCAAGATGCACTATACCTTTCTCAGGACGAACCATCTTACACTACAAGGGAAGGATGGCAGATACACAAAAGCCATAAGATGAGAGGTCATCTAATACGGCTCAAAAGAAGAAAAGACAGAGAGTATTGGTGGGTGACTCCATGCTGAAGGGTACTAAGGTAGGCATTTGTTGTCTTGACAATAAAAAAAGGTCTTCTTTCTTCCTAGAGTACGTATCCAGAATATGACAAAGAGCCTCCTAAGCCTTTTCAAACATGAAAGCTAGTACTCAGGTTGCTGGGGATTATGATGGTCTGGCTAAAAAACTATGCCTCTTAGGATCACAGGTGGTGTTTTTATCACTGTTATTGAGTGAAAAGCAAGTGCTTTTGAAGAGAAAAGCAGATTTTTGAAAGGGAAAAGGTAATTAAGAAGATGGTAGATGAGGACAGGGTTCCTATTTCTGAACCACCGCTTGAAACATAGTTCTTGGAAAGAGATGGAGTGAACTGAACAAGGCTGGTTAAAATATACTTGTCTTACAAATGTGATTAAGAGTGCTTTATACTACATAGTGTATAGGGAACAGGAGGTAGACCAGATTGTCTGTAGAATAGAAGTATGTGTGTATGTGTGTGTATCTATGTGTGTGTGTGCACAC